GGATGGATGGAGGGATGGAGGGATGGATGGAGGGATGGATGGAGGGATGGATGGAGGGATGGATGGAGGGATGGATGGAGGGATGGATGGAGGGATGGATGGAGGGATGGATGGAGGGATGGATGGAGGGATGGATGGAGGGATGGATGGAGGGATGGATGGAGGGATGGAGGGATGGATGGATGGAGGGGTGGATGGATAAATAGGTGGATGGATGGGGAAGGGTGAGGAACCCACCTAAGAAACCCATGGTTTCAGCTCTGTCATCTGAAGGAAGAGCTAAGCCCACCCCTCACGTCCCTGTTGGCTCAAGGATCACTTCAGATGGGAAAAAGCCCTTCCTGCCCCACCACAGAAAACAGAGGAGATGCTTTTGGGTCTCCTTGTGTACAGCCCAGTTGTCCCATGCCACCCATGGCCACGTCCCTTGGAGAGCAGACAGCAGGGCTACTCCAGGGCCAGTGCAAAGGAAGGTGCCTCCAGGCTTCTTCCTCCAACCAAACCAGGAATAAAAACCCCAGTGTTGTCCCAGTTTTCTCTGCCAGGAGCTGAGATGCAGCACTTGGAGCTCAGCCCTCTGGTTGGTGCAGCCACCACGAGTCATGGGGAGCAGCAGCCAAGGAGAAAATGTTCAACCCTTCCACCTGAAAGTTGCTGGGGTGTCTTTTTGTGGTGGCCACCCCAAGGTGGGGCTGCAGGGGAGGGAGAGCTGAGGCAGCAGAAAGCCTGACCTGCAACAAGTGGCCCAACACCTGATGGAGCAGCTGAGATGTTGTTTGGAGGCAGCCAGGGCCAGGGGTGTGATGGGTCTGGGAGATAAAGGGAGTTATGGGAGGATGAGGCAGTCACACCATGTAAATGGCATCTTTGGAGACTCCTACATCCTCCTGTCATGGTGGGAACCCTCAGCAGCAAACCCTGTGTGCTAGGACCAGCTGCAGGGCACAGCCAAGGGCAGCAGCAGGAGCAGGGCCAGAGTTCCAGGCCACCTTGGAATGTTCTGCACTGGGGCTGCCCCATGGAAGGGCTGGAGGTGTCAAAAAAAACATGTAGACGTGGCACTTTGGGACATGATTTGGTGGGTGTGGTGGTGTTGGGTTAATGGTTGGACTGGGTGATCTTAGAGATTGTTTCCAACCTTAATAATTTGGAGGTTCTGCTTCCTGGGAATGGACTAAGCAGCAGCAGCATCTCTTGAGGAGAAACTTCTTGGGATGGGACAGATCTGTCCAGGTCCCTCTGCAGAGCCTCAACCCCTGGATCCAGTCTGGCCAGGTCCCTCTGCAGAGCCTCAACCCCTGGATCCAG